TTCTACTTGATCTAGTCTTTGCACTCTTGACTGTATTTTTTTATTTCACATATTGAGTCCTTCTGTTTGGTTCTTTATCCTGATCTTTATATATTGGCTTAATTTCTCAATTCATATCATGAATTGTTTTCCCTAATTATGTTGAACTGTTTGTTTATATTCTATTGACTCTCACTTAATTTCCTTAGGATTGTTCTTTTGAATACTTTTTCAGGTATTTTATCAATATTCTTTTATTTTGGGTTGGAAGCTAGAGAGTTATTGGAGAGGTCATGCTACCTTGTTTTTTCCTACTTCTTTTGTACCTATGTTAATGTTTGTGCATCTGACAGAACAGTTATCTCTACAACTCTTTTAGATGGTCTTTGTAAAAGAATTTCTCATGAAGATTTGCCTAGGGCTATATTTGGTTGGCTTTGGTTCCATTTGGACACAGCAGTGTGTTCTTCCTAGAGCTTCTTTGGCTATCATCCATGGTTTTGGATGCAGTACATGTAGAAAGTCCATCTATTTCTGAGGTGTTGAGAGGAGTAGGAGTACATTGGTGACTCAGGAAACTCACTCTGTGGCCATTCCATGAATGACAGTAATGGCACAGAGGCCTTGGACCACAGGGAGCATTTCAGGTACTGCTGAGGTACATTATTGCTATTATCAGAGACCTCTGACAAGTGCAGAATTAACAAGTGCATGGAGCAAATACTCTAAGGTCTAGTGATAGTACAGTTGCTGATAGCAGTGCATAAACTGTGGGGAAGTGGAAGAAGATGGGCCCCAGGTCCCAGGGAGCAAGCACCTTTGCTTCTCTGGTCTTGAGAAGCAAAAACGCTGAACTATCTGACTTGTGTAGTGCAAAGCACTGTGCAACTGGGTGCTATGGTCAAAGTTTCACTGCAGAGTCTAATTGGATAATTAGCCTTATGTTCTAGTGCGGCACCATGTTTATAGGATACCAGGGATAGAATATACAGAGACTTCTGTCCCCTAGGCCAATATTTTTGGCACCAAACTCTATAGAGCTGCCTGGGCTCTGGGAGTTGGGGGGTTTTGGGGGGAGGGAGATAGTGTGAGTTCTTTCTCTGAAGCAAAGTGATATAAAGATTCCAGGAAGCTCCCCTAATTGGTCTCCAAGTCTGTAACAACTGTAGAACTCAACTCTGCTTTGCTAGCACTGCCAGCTCTGTGTTGATTTGGTCTGCAAGGACTCACATTCACCCTTTAACCTGAAATGAGGAGTCCTTTTAGCCAGAAAGCTAAGGTTGAGGTTGCCAGTGGACTTTATTCTTTTCTCTTTGTTTCCATCCCAAGTCTCCATATCCTACATGGTTCCTGTCTATCCCTTGCTCTCCTTCAGCAACTCATCTCAAAATACAACTCTTCATTTGTTGTTTTATTCCTTTTTGTGGAGAAGGAGTTGAGCAGTCATCTCCATTATAGTCAGCTATCTCTCAGAACTTAAAAGTTTCTAGAAAGCAAGTAAGAAGAAGGCAATCAACTATAATTTATTAGAGTATGATACCCTTAGAGAAAAAGAAATGGTTAAGTTATTTAAGGTTGGCATAGGCTAAAATGGAGGAAAGGAAGTTAGTGAGATATAGCCTGCCTCAGCCCAGACCTTAGAGACACTTCATGCCTGGAGGCTAGAGTGAAAATTCTGGTTCTTACCAAATTAATGGAAACATTCCATTCTAATGGTGGCATCTTCAGATGCCAAAATCAGTGGGTAATGGAAAGTTACATAGATTTGACTTGTGATTTCTCAGGGCAGCAATCACTTAGTGCACACGGTTGAATCAGGACTTGTTATGAAAGCCACTTTAGTGTTACCCATCTAGAAACCTAAATACATGCATATGGAAAATGGTGATTTGTGATATCCACCCCTGTATTTGCCTGCCAAGCCTTAATCAGAGCCAAGAGGTTGGATAGGTTTGGCTATTCTCTGCAAGTTGCATTGCAGGATAATTAGCACAAATGGGAGCCCTGATCACCTTTGAACTGAAGTAATCTGGTAGAATGTTTGACTATTTTTAATTATAGACATGTAAGCCAGTGTACCTTGATTTTTTTTTTAAACTCTTCAATACCGTTGAATATCTAAGCAGTAAAAGCTATGCAACTTCTTTGGGGAAAAATGCTCAAAGGCATGTATGCATGTATGTATGCACACAAACATAATTTTGCATAAATTTCAGGAAGTTGGTTTTCCCTCAAAAGCCCATTCATTTTGAAGGCTCTGCCTTCTTCTTCTTCTTCTTCTTCTTCTTCTTCTTCTTCTTCTTCTTCTTCTTTTTTTTTTTTTTTTTTGACAGGCAGAGTGGACAGTGAGAGAGAGAGACAGAGAGAAAGGTCTTCCTTTTGCCGTTGGTTCACCTTCCAATGGCCGCCGCGGCTGGTGCACTGCGGCCGGCGCATCGCGCTGATCCGAAGGCAGGAGCCAGGTGCTTCTCCTGGTCTCCTATGGGGTGCAGGGCCCAAGCACTTGGGCCATCCTCCACTGCACTCCCTGGCCACAGCAGAGAGCTGGCCTGGAAGAGGGGCAACCGGGACAGAATCCGGCACCCCGACCGGGACTAGAACCCAATGTGCCGGCACCACAAGGCCAAGGATTAGCCTATTGAGCCGCGGCGCTGGCCCGAAGGCTCTGCCTTCAAAAATTCTTTGTTTTTTAAGGTTTTACTTTAAAGGCAGAGTTACACAGAGAGAGGGATAGACAGAGAAAGAGAGCTCTTCTACCTGTTGGTTCATTCCTCAAATAGCTGTAATGGCCAGGGCTGGGCCATGCCAAAGCCAGGAACCAGAAGCTTCATCTGGGTCTCCCACAGGTTGTAAGGGTCCAAGCACTTGACCTATTGTCTGCTGTTTTCTACGGTGCATTAGCAGAGAGCTGGTTCAGAAGTGGAGCAGCTGGGACTCAAACAAGGGCCCATATGGGAATTGACATTGCAACTACAACACTGACCCCAACTTGAAGAATTCTTATTGACATTAATTCAATAAATATAAAACAAGATAAATATTTAAGAAGTTGGGAATATAATGCATGGGTCTCAGCATTTATGATATTTAGAGCCTTTTTAGGACATCTTGCCTTTAAAAATGCATTTCTCCTACAGTCCTATTTAACTTTCATTCTTCCTGTTTTCCTTTTCTCTTGTCTACATAATCTTTATGTAATATAGCTCTTCTGGAAAAACTGTAAAACATTGGGGTTTTCTATTTCTGTACCATTCTCAATACTACTGTCAACTTTTAGTGTAATAAATCATTTATATGCTTTAGCAACCTAAGAAGTTAATTTAGGCAGTTGTTAAGGACTTCTCAAATTAGATCCATCTTTAGATGCTTCCTCATAATGCTAACCCTTGCCATGGATAGTGTTTGATGTCCATCAGAATTAGAATGATCTGTATAATTTTCAAAACCAAAGTTCTCCCCACATTCAGAATGCTTTTCCTACATGAGTAAAACTTGCTAGCTATCAGACAATGCCTTTGTTGGCTCTAAAGAAGGGAAAAGCATCATGATGCCATGTGTTAAGCCGCTGCTTGGGATGCCCACATCCCATATGGGATTATCTGTTCAAATCCTGGCTAATTAGCTCTTCCAATTCAGGTCTGTACTAACACACCTGGGAAAAAGCAGATAATGGTCCAAATACTTCTGCCCCTGCCACCCAGGGAGACTACAAAAGGGAGTTGCTGACTCCTAGCTTATACCTGGCCTATCCTTGGCTGTTGTAGACATATAGGGAGTGAACCAGTGGATAGAAAATATCTCTACCTCCCTCCCTCCTTGTCACTCTGTCTTTCAAATAAGTAAATAAGTCTTTTACAAAAACTCAAAAATTGTTGCATCTGAATTGTTTTAAAAAGTAAATAATAATAAGTATAGCTTTGCCTTATATTTAACATATACATGCTTTAATGCTTTAGTGACATTTACTCATATCATTAAGCCAAATATTTTGTGTGTCCATACTAAACACTGGTGTTGAGTATCAGGTAGCAAAGATAAAAAGACATATTTTCTGTATGCTCTAGATCTGAATGGATCAAAAATTGATCTTTCTTATGTAAGTCATATATATAAGTGTGGAGTGGTATCTTAACACGGGCTTTCATGGGTTGGGGACATAACTGGGAAGATGTTGGCCAAATAATGCAAAAAAAATCAATTGGATAGGAGTAATAGACTCAAGAGCTCTGTTATACAGCATGATAATTATAATTAATAATAATTATAGACTTGAAAATTGCTAAGAAAGTAGATTTTAAGTGGTTTTACCACACACACACATATAAATGTGTCAATATATATATATATACATATATATATATATTTTTTAATTAGCTTGATTTAGTCATTCCATCTGAACTTACATACCAAAAACATCAGGCTGTACACTTTAAAGGTAAAAATTTTGTCAACTGAAGAGCTAAAATAATTTAAATATTTATTTTTTTAAAGATTTATTTATTTTATTTGAAAGTCAGAGTTACACAGAGAGAGGAGAGGCAGAGAGAAAGAGGTCTTCCATCTGCTGGTTCACTTCCCAATTGGCTGCAATGGCCGGAGCTATGCCCATCTGAAGCCAGGACCCAGGAGCTTCCTCTGGGTCTCCCACATGGGTTCAGGGGCCCAAGGACTTAGGCCTTCCTCTACTGCCTTCTCAGGCCATAGCAGAGAGCTGAATCAGAAGTGGAGCAGCCGGGACTAGAACCACCACCTATATGGGATGCCAGTGCTTCAGGCCAGGGCATTAACCCACTGCACCACAACTCCAGCCCCATTTAAATATTTAAATATATTCACTACATACATACAAAAAAGAAATTGTTTTTTCTCTACGCTCATTAATCAAACAATAAATGCTTTTTTCTTCTAGATATAATTACATATCAAAAATTATATAAACTGCTAATTTTACCTTTTTAATTAATCAGTTTTATACACATTTAAATTAGAAAAAATAATATATATATATATTTTATATCTAGGAATATAAAAATAATATTACCAAACTTGTAAATGAAATGAAAATCAAAGAGGATGAACATAAGATAGAAATAAGCAGTGTTTATCAGGACATGCAGAAAAAAGGTAAGATTTTTTTATTTTAAATCTACTGAATTCTAAGATATTATAAAATAATTTTAATGTGCAGGCTCATTTTTTCTGCAATAGCCAGTATTCTTGAATAAATGCTACCTTGATTCTTTTTCAGTTAGAGTTTTTAAAAATATTTCCCCATATTTATGTTAGGTAATAATAACAGTTCTGAATCTGATTCACACCTTTTGCATTTAATGTTCTGTAGTGTTAAAGTACTTATAAAACAACTACAAATTTTATATAGTACAATGAAATTTTTGTATTTATATATAAAGCATATTGAATATAACGACTAATGAAATTTTTCTTCGATAAATTAGATCTCACACAATTGCGTTTAGGATTAATTGGTTTCATATGGTTATTAGTAACCTTCCTAAGGATCTCATCTTTTTTCTTTTTTTTTTTTTTTTTACCGTGCCCGGGGCGCACAGGGCCTGGCCGGGCACTGGTGGCGGGGCTGGCGGCCGGGCGCTGAGGGCCGCGACGATGAGCCTGGAGGGCGGCGCCATGGCTGCACGCCCCGACCCACCTCGGGATCTCACTTTATACATACCATACCCAAAAGTTAACTTAATGGATGATAGGTCTAACTGTGAAACTTAAAACTACAAAACTTCTGGAAGAAAGCATGAGTGATTACTTTTGCAACCTTGAGTTTGGCAAAGCTTCTTCAAATGAAACAAAAAACTCAAATAATAAAGGAAAAATAATATATTACCACAAATTTTTTTTCTTTTTTTTTAAACTTTTATTTAATGAATATAAATTTCCAAAGTACAGAATATGGATTACAATGGCTTCCCCCCTATAACGTCCCTCCAACCCGCAACCCTCCCTTATCCACTCCCTCTTCCCTTCCATTCACATCAAGATTCATTTTCAATTCTCTTTATATACAGAAGATCAGTTTAGCATACATTAAGTAAATATTTCAACAGTTTGCTCCCACACAGAAACATAAAGTGAAAAATACAGTTTGAGTACTAGTTATAGCATTAAATCTCAATGTACAGCACACTAAGGACAAAGATCCTACATGAGGAGTAAGTGCACAGTGACTCCTGTTGTTGATTTAACAAATTGACACTCTTTTTTATGGCATCAGTAATCACCCTAGGCTCTTGTCATGAGCTGCCAAGGCTATGGAAGCCCCCTGAGTTCACTGACTCTGATCATATTTAGACAAGGCCATGGTCAAAGTGGAAGTTCTCGGCCGGCACTGCGGCTCACTAGGCTAATCCTCTGCCTAGTGGTGCCAGCACACCGGGTTCTAGTCCCAGTCGGGGCGCGGGATTCTGTCCCAGTTGCCCCTCTTCCAGGCCAGCCCTCTGCTGTGGCCAGGGAGTGCAGTGGAGGATGGCCCAGGTACTTGGGCCCTGCACCCCATGGGAGACCAGGAAAAGCACCTGGCTCCTGGCTCCTGCCATCGGATCAGCGCGGTGCGCCGGCCGCAGCGCGCCGGCCGCGGCGGCCATTGAAGGGTGAACCAACGGCAAAGGAAGACCTTTCTCTCTGTCTCTCTCTCTCACTGTCCACTCTGCCTGTCAAAAAAAAAAAAAAAAAAGGTAGAAGTTCTCTCCTCCCTTCAGAGAAAGGTACCTCCTTCTTTGATGACCCATTCTTTCCGTGGGATCTCACTCACGGAGATCTTTCATTTAGGTTTTTTTTTTCCCCCAGAGTGTCTTGGCTTTCCATGCCTGAAATACTCTCATGGGCTTTTCAGCCGGATCCGCATGCCTTAAGGGCTGATTCTGAGGCCAGAGCGCTGTTTAGGACATTTGCCATTCTGTGGGTCTGCTGTGTATCTCACTTCCCATGTTGGATCAGTCTCTCCCTTTTTGATTCTATCAGCTAGTATTTGCAGACACTAGTCTTGTTTATGTGATCCCTTTGGTTCTTAGTCCTATCATTACGATCAATTGTGAACAGAAATTGATCACTGGGACTAGTGAGATGGCATTGGTACATGCCACCTCGATGGGATTGAATTCGAATCCCCTGGTATGTTTCTAACTCCACCACTCCACCGTTTGAGGCAAGTCAGCTTGAGCATGTCCCGAATTGCACATCTCTTCCCCCTCTTATTACCACTCTTATATTTAACAGCAATCACTTTTCAGTCAAGTTTCAACACTTAAGAAGAATTGTGTATTGATTACAGTATTCAACCAAAAGTATTAAGTAGAACAAACAAAAAAATACTAAGAGGGATAACATATTAAGCTGCTCATCAACAGTCAGGGTGAGGGCTGATCAAGTCACTGTTTCTCATAGTGTTCATTTCACTTTAACAGGTTTCCTTTTTGGTGCTCAGTTAGTTGTCACCTATCAAGGAGAACAAGTGGTATTTGTCCCTTTGGGATTGGCTTATTTCACTCAACATAATGTTTTCCAAATTCCTAACAGGGATCACTTTTCAGTTAAAATTTAAACACCTAAGAAGAATTGTGTGTTAATTACAGAGTTCAACCAATGGTACTAGAACAAAAAAAAAATACTAAAATGGATAAAGTATTACATTGTACATCAACCGTCAGGACAAGAGCTGATCAAGTCACTGTTTCTCACAGTATCCATTTCACTTCAACAAGTTTCCCCTTTGGTGCTCAGTTAGTTGTCGCCAATCAGGGAGAACATATGTTATTTGTCCCTTTGGGACTGGCTTAATTCACTCAGCATGATGTTTTCCAAATTCCTCCATCTTGTTGCAAATGACTGGGTTTCATTGTTTTTGACTGCTGTATAGTATTCAATAGAGTACATGTCCCATAATTTCTTTATCCAGTCTACTGTTGATGGGCATTTGGGTTGGTTCCAGGTCTTAGCTATTGTGAATTGAGCTGCAATAAACATTAATGTGCAGACAGCTTTTTTGTTTGCCAATTTAATTTCCTTTGGGTAAATTCCAAGGAGTGGGATGGCTGGGTTGAATGGTAGGGTTATATTCAGGTTTCTGAGGAATCTCCAGACTGACTTCCATAGTGGCTTAACAAGTTTGCATTCCCACCAACAGTGGGTTAGTGTCCCTTTTTCCCCACATCCTCTCCAGAATCTATTGTTGGTAGATTTCTGAATGTGAGCCATTCTAACTGGGGTGAGGTGGAACCTCATTGTGGTTTTGATTTGCATTTCCCTGATTGCTAGTGATCTTGAACATTTTTTCATGTGTCCGTTGGCCATTTGGATTTCCTCTTTTGAAAAATATCTATTGAGGTCCTTGGCCCATCTCTTAAGTGGGTTGTTTGTTTTGATGTTGTGGAGTTTCTTGATTTCTTTGTAGATTCTAGTTATCAACCCTTTATCTGTTGCATAGTTTGCAAATATATTTTCCCATTCTTATTACCACAAAATTATTGATTTTTGTTCTTTAATGCTGTGAAGAAAATGAAAAGACAGGTCGATGAAAATAAACAAAATTGACACACGATTGGCCAACTAACCAAAAATAGGAGGGAGCATACACAAACTAATAAAATTAGAGATGAAAAAAGGAAATGTAACAATAGACATCACAGAAATTAAGAGTCATCAGAAAGTACTACAAAGAGCCAACAAACCAGGAAATCTAGAAGAAATTGAAAGATTATTGGAACATACAACCTACCTAAATTGAGTCATGAAGACATAGAAAACCTAAGCAGACCCATAAGCAACAGAGAAACTGAATCAGTAATAAAGTCCCTTGCAACAAAGAGAAGCCAAGAACCGGATAGCTTCATCCTGAATTCTACCAGACATTTAAAGAACTAACACCAATTCTTCCCAAGCTATTCAAAACAATTGAAAGGAAGGGGATCATCCCAAATTCTTTTATGATGCAATCATCACTTTAATTCCTAAACCTGAAAAAGATACAATAGAGAAAGACAACTACAGACCAATTTTCCTGATGAATACAGATATAAAACTCCTCAACAGAATAGTCGCCAATTGAATCCAAAAACACACCAGGAAGATCATTCACCAGGACCATGTGGGATTTATCCTTGGTATGCAGGCATGATTCAACATTCACAAATCAATCAATGTAACACATCACAATAACAAATTGAAACAAAAACCATATGATTATCTCAATAGATGCAAAGAAAGCAGTTGATAAAATACAATACCATTTCTCTATGAAAACTCTAAGCAAATTGGGTATAGAAGGTACATTTTCAAAATAATCAACACAATTTATGAAAAATCCATGCCCAGCATCCTATTGAATGGGTAAATGTCGGAAGCATTCCCACTGAGATCTGGAATCGGATAAGAATTTCCACTCTCAACATTGCTATTCAATATTGTCCTGGAAATTTTAGCCAGAGCCATTAGACAAGAAAAAGAAATGAAAAGGATACAACTGGGAAGGAGGAAATCAAACTATCCCTATTTGAAGATGACTTCATTCTATATATATGGGATCCAAAAGACTTCACTAAAAGTCTATTGGAACTCATAGAAGAGTTTGGTAAAGTACCAGGATATAAAATCAACACACAAAAATCAACAGCCTTAATGTACACAGACAATGACACGGCTGAGAAAGGACTTCTAAGATCAATCCCATTCACAATAGCTAACAAAAAAGATCAAATACTTTGGAATAAATTTAACCAAGGATGTCAAAGATCTCTACAATGAGAATTATGAAGCATTAAAGAAAGAAATAGAAGATACAAAAAAATGGAAAAATCTTCCATGTTTGTGGACTGGAGGAATCAATATCATCAAAATTTCCATGCTTTCAAAAGCAGTTTACAGATTCAATGTGATACTAATTGAGATTCCAAGGACATTCTTCTCAGATCTAGAAAAAATAATGCTAAAGTTCATATGGAAATATAGGAGACCTCAAATAGCTAAAGCAATTTTATACAACAAAAAGCTGGAGGCATCACAATACCAGATTTCAAGAAATACTACAGGGCAGTTATAATCAAAATAGCCTGGTACTGGTACAGAAACAGAAGGGTAGACCAAAGGAACAGAATATAAAT